TTTGTTTTACTGTAACACAGACTAGCAAGTAATTATTCAGTTAAGTGCTTTCTACTTCTTTTCATTTTACCATATGAATTTCAGATAATTTTGCATTCTAATTCTTTCCTCAACAGTATTTGAATATGCTTCCTATTTTGCATCGTCTGCAAGTTGCTAAAGACTGAATCCTAAAAATGACCCTTCCTAACCTGATTTCCAAATCTGACAACCAGCTAGACCATGCTTAACATGCTCTTTCAAAGCAGCTCTATGTGAATTTCAACTAGCTCACATTTGTTTCTCCAGAAACATGTCAAATTGGACATGAAAATCAATACAAAAAGCAATACTAAAACCAAACCACTGCATCGCCTATGGCTTCTCCATATACCTTAGCCATCACAATGTAAAAGGCACTCTAATACAGAAACATTAGTCCTACATATATTATTTTGATTAATATTAGAATGTTCAGAGATATCATTCCAAATACAAATGCATTTTGCAATTAAATTTTAAATGACATTTAGAACATTCACCACAGAAACAAAATACATATGCTGCATTTAAGATCAATATAAAACCTATTATTAAGGATACACAAAAAAACAAATTTAGATTACATATTTTTGAAATAAAGTATTTGCATTTGACCTATGAAGAAACAAACTAATATTTTGTGATTTACTTATATTTGTAAGTATTCTTCATGCCCATCTTCTTCCCTGCTTGCCCCAAGTAGGTTTGCAAATTAAAAGATGTGGCAGAACTGTCTGCTCTCGCACCTCATTATGCACCAATTCACTACTCTACCCTTTAGCAAAGGGCATGAAAACCTGATAAACCTTTACAGGGTGCTCTGGAGGAAACAAAATCTGATGTCAGACGTAGAAAAATAAAATAATAATTACAGAGCTATAGACATGACGATTTCACATTTATAGTGCTCTCCAAGCTTTGCTACTTTTAAGTTCAGCAGGTGGAAGACTTAATGACTCTTCTTAACCAAAATTATATTGAACAATTTTTAAAGAAAAATACATCAGGTCTGAATCTTCTGATTCTTTTGAAGTCCTCATTTCATAGCTAGTACTAAAAGAAGAGATGATTTTAAAGATCTCTGAATATATTTTAAGACAATGGTCAAGAATTCATATTTGGTACATAGAAGCTCTACTTTAAAAAAGTTTTACTAAGCTGACTAGAGTCAATAGAGAGATCACACGTGTTCTGGTTAGGATAAACATAATAAATACATTACAATTTTAAAGATTCTTTCAAACTGAATTACAGTGTAAATTGTCACAACAGAGGCTTCAAAAACAAGTCATTGCCTTGAGGAGCTGCTTGGAAAAGCATTATGTTATCAGAGTATCTCTAGTGCCAAGTCCCTGGCAGATAGGCAGAGGGGAAAAAAAAAAATACATATTTCCTTCTGTTTTGCAAGTAAGTGTAATGTTTTCATAGCTTCAATAAACAGCTAGTGTACTTTAACATCAGTATCATCCACTGACAAGCAAGACTACTGCATTGAAGGAAATTCATTCCAGCTCCTCCACCACACATTTAATTTAATCAATAGTTTGGAAGTTGTAATTAGCTTATGTTTATACAGCACTCTGAAGATGTAAACTGCTACGTAAGTGACAACTAATGATGAGGCTTAAGCAGCATTCATCAGCTTTGTGTGAATTCACAAACAAACAAGTAGCTCTTGAAAGTATTAAATATAGATCGCTTTTAAATATTCATTTTAAGAGATTGCCCGTGAACCTTCTGAAACATGCAATTTACATGTACAATACCAGCTTTTAAGAAATCCAGTGGTACTGCACTTCTATCATAGCTTTCATTGTTAATGTTTCTGTTGAAATTATTTATCCTATTTACACATCAGTAACTACAGCATTTAGTTAATACTGAAAATGAGTGTCAATTCATTTGAAAGAGTGGCTTCAAATGGGCACCTCAGCCTGTAGTGCTTTTTGAATTATAATTCACTATGTCATTCTTTTTATTTAAAGAACAATAATTTAAAGACTTAATGTTCATTTGTACAATCTGGAACTTGTCCCAGAAAGGATGGTGCAATCTACAAGTAAAACTGCTGAAGATCACGGACGATCTAGATCTGCAAATGAGGGACTGTATTTCCTGTAATTTTCTTGCAGCTTTTATTCATTAAAATCGAATCAAGACTACATAAAAGGAGAGAGGCAGTAAGATATTGAATCAAATTAAACATTTATTCTACTAGTGAAGAGTAGCAGGCTTTTTCTCAAATACCTCAATGCAAAAGAAGAAAGGAAACAATACTGTACAAAGACTTCCAAAACTAGCACTGAACAAAGCACTGAAAAGAAAAATACAGTGAAGGGAGCTTTCATTGCATGGAAATGCATTAAAGTGATATAATTAACAATTAAGCTTACAAATGCCTGTGACTTAATAAATTCCCAGTTTGAAGCACCTGCAGATTCAAGGAAGCAAACCCATAACTAATTTTTCACTGCACAAAAATAAGCATATATTCCCACTTTCAGTAAGTGTCTGTAATTTCAAAAATTGTATTTACATTTGTGATAACGTTGTTAGAATTAAAAGAGTGAATGAAAAGCAGTAAAAATACAGAATACAGAGAAAGATTAAGAGAGCTTTTCTAACTTCACAAACTCTGAAGCTGCAGCTTTCATTTTGTCTACATGAACCTTAAAAAAAAGCTTCTCTGAAAAAGAGTTGCAAAGTATACCAGCAATTTAAGAGGATGGTAGATTGATTCAGCCTCATTAAAACAGGTATTTCTTAATTGGTTATTCTGAAAAAAAAAATCACTCTTTTGTATTAAAAGTAAATAACTGTAGCTACTGTTTTATTTAATAAAACGCTTAACTTGAAAAACACTCCCACTTGTTAGCTCACTGTATATGCAACTAAACAACTCAAATTTGTTAGTCTTCTCTTTCAATAGAAAAGGGCAAAGATGAAGGCTGCTATATTTTTATTGTGTGATTAAAACAAATTTCAGTTCTACACAGCAGCACTCCCATCCTGCTTTAGGAAATCAAACTCTCTAATTCCATGGTCTTTGGAGTCTTTTGTGATGGCTGCAGCAGAGGATGTACCACAGGCCAGTTCCCAGTAACTGTCCTTTCCCGAGGAATCACTTAGGACAGGGCTGAATTAGCAAAGCTTTCTGAGCAACGCTCCTCAGACACACGTAGGTACTGTAAAACCAGTAACCTTTTATTTATTGTCCATGTGCTATACTTGTTTTACATTATGAGTGTCAGTGGGAAAGAATCCATCGTATCTAAAAGCCAAATGGAAGACACAGGTACATGTCATCCTGAACCCTCATTTCCTCAAGAAGTGAATCCTGGCTCTTGTGACTCTACCTATGGCTGCAGCCTGGCCAGTGAAAGGAGATCTGAAGTAAAGTATGGAAGATCATTTGATCAACACAACCCTCTTCCAAGACACAGTACAGTCAGAGAAGAGCAGTAAAATGTAAGTGATTACTTCACACTGATGACATCAGTCTGCCTTGTATCAGCAAATCTGTGGCACCAGCAGCATCAGCCCTTACCACGTTGCATCCTGCTATCATTTCCTGCTACAACAGCACACCACCTGAGAAAAATGGGTCAGGCTAAAGAGCGTCAGAAGCTTTCTCCTTTAGAAGTTAAACATGAACATGAGCAATACAAGATTTCCTTGTGTTTGTAACGAACAGAGCTAGGCCTAGAACGGTAAAGGTATTCTCTGCAAGCTCGTTAAGCCACCAACTTATCTGTTGAAGCAACCAGCAAATTATAATTTCTTGGAACAGACTTTCAGGATATGGATATACGATCATGCTACAGGATGCTTACTAGTTTGTGACAGCTTAAAGACAGAAAACCTAGGGTTTGATATAATACACACTGACACCAACTTTTATTTGTTTTTCTCCATGGACTCCAACATTATTGGGAGACTTTTCTACCTTATTTTGTATACAATTAAAACAAGCCTGAAGATATTTCTCAAAGGGACTAACTATTAAGATCTTAACACAGGAAGGTGCCACAAAAATGCATACAGGTTTTGTTATGATCAATCTTTATCCTATAAATATTTCTTTTGGAATACATCGATTTACTAAACCTGTAAAAGGAGGACTTTGATAAAGGAAATCATGATGATATTCAGCGTGCTGTACTGTAAATTTGTAGTATTAAGAGGTATTACACAAGAGAGAATACACACAAGCCTAGTCGTAAAATGGAAAGATGAATAGTAATAACAGTGAGGAAAAGATGGGGAGCCACAGAGACTTCTTGCAAAGTAGTGAAATAGGACTAGCCAAAGAATTTTTAAGCACATGAAAACAGAAGAGATGGGAAAGTAGCTTAACTAACTGCACTGAGTGAAAAACAGACACATGCAATGAGCTTCTGTTGTGAGCAATACACCAAGTGCAAAGTTTACACAGGCAAAACACTACTTTCTAGTTTTAATGTTAAAAAAAAAAAAAAAGGATCTTGCCTTAACTACAGCACGGAAGGAAAATCTAAAAATAAATTCAATTATCATCTTTTTAAAAACTGCTTTTTAAACAAACACATACGGTTATTTGGGCTACAGTGTAATCAGAAGCTCCTCAAAACAAACTCCCACTCAGTCACTGCTAAATATTGATAATCCCAAACAGTGTATCACAGGGAAGATGCAGCTATTAAAAAAACATGTTGAAAGTTACTTCAATAATAATAAGTGCTGCAGAGTACATGGTTCTAGCAGAGATATTCAGCTATACTACCACTCAGTGAGTTATAAGCTCAAAGTTCTGACTGGCATCTATTGCTATGTTTAACTAGTATGACAGGAAACTGATATCAAAATGCATGAAACCAGACTGATTTAGGTAAGTTCTAGCACAGTTTTTAAAGGGAGGACGGAAAGGGGGAAGAATAAAACAAACCAAAAAACAAACTTAGTACAACTCTATCAAAAATTATATGAATAGTTCAACTTACTCTTTTACTGAGGCAGATAACTGGCCACATACTACAACCTAAAGTGCAGCAGCAGCAAAGGCATCCACATAGTAGCCATCGTACATTAACTGGAAGGTTCTTCTTAAGACAACTGTTAACTCTACTGATGCTGGCTTTAAATTCTTCCGGTGCAACCTACAAGGGGAAAAAACACCACAAAATAAACTAGTACCGCAGCAGTAAGATTTATTACTCTTACAATGGACTGCGTGTGGAACTCGTTTTTGTAATAAAATCTGAACTCTAATACCAGATTCCTATGCGCAGATACTCACCTTTCCAGTTAAAGAGGAAGGAAATTCTGCTTCAAATTTGTTGCTTAGTCCAAACCTGAAAAAACAAATGATACCAAAATTATAAATTGGAACCTCATAAAAAACCACCTCGTAACATTCTGGTTCATAACAGAAAGGCATTAATTTTAGGAAAAAATAGTTGCTACTAAAAGTAATTCCTAAAATTATCCTAACAGACAGAAGTACATCGCTCTACACTGTTTGAAATCCACCCTGCTTATATGCTCCCAAATTTCTGAGGATACTATTGAGTCTTTCACAAACTCAGCAAAATCTTTATAAGCAATAGCGGCAAGTATGAAAAGTGAAAAGTGAAGAGAAGTACTTAAGGGGAAAGAGGAAGTAAGTTAATGCCACAGCCTGAATTACCACCATCCCCTTCCTCCACGAGTACGGAACTATCTTGAAGAAAAGCTCATCCAGTGCTATTTCCCTCAGGCCATCCTAAATAGCTGCTCTAAGCATAATCAATACCAGCTTGTTTATTCAGAAAGAAGTACACTAGTAAGTTTCAGAACACAAAATGCTACTAATAAAATATGATTTAAATGCTAATTTGAAAGAAACATACCAGTGGCAAATGTAAAAGCTATGAAGGCATTTGAGATGGGCTGGAGTTACTGATGATTCTGGGTTTCATAAGATCTAAAGATTAGAAGAGTTATGCCTTGTCTACAAAAAAAATTTGGTTTCTATCTTACAGTTGGGAGGTTGGGTTCAGAAATGAACGAACCTCAAAAACACGTATTTTCTGGCATCCAGTCTGGGCAATAACTTCTAATAGGGACTATATGGTCTAACAAAAGCCATTAATAATAACTGGCTATTAATTTAGTAAACAGAAGTCAAGGTAAAATGTCATTTGTCATTAATAATCTTATTAATATAATCCAAAGCAGTCCTACTATTGGATACTACAAACAACACAAATCAGAAGTTAAACTGCTGAAGACTTGAGTATCGGCAGCAAGATCTATCACACAGAGCTCAGTTGTGTGCAAAAAGCTTACCTGAGCCTTGATTGTTGAAGAATTTTGAGACATAATTTGCTTCGACAGTATGTTTATTGAGCAGCTAAGCATTTCTCAGTGTTTATTTTTCCTTACTGAACTGAATGATCAGCATGCCAATGGAGAACTCTGTCCAAGTAATCAAATGGGCAGTTAAGTGCTGTACCAATGGTGAGCCACTGTGGAAAGACCTCACAAAACCCAGTGGACAAAAGGTGGCAGATGAGCTTCTGCATAGATAAATAAAAAGTGTTGAACCTTGGGAAAGCTAAACTATGCTTATGTGATACTCAGCTACAGTTTGGAAACTACAGGTCACAAGAGAGATCTTTCAGCACCACTCATGATGTTCTTAAACAGAAGCATCAGCCATCAGACATAGCAATAAAATGCTGGGCACCAGTAGGCAGGTGATTAAGAACCAACACAGAGGGCATCATTCTCTTTCTCCAACCCTCATATATCCCCGTACTGAGTACGGTTCTAGCATCCCCATTTCATGGAGGACAGGGAGGGAGTTAAGAGAAATCACAGAAAATAAAGACTAATATAATTAAGGGGCTAAAACAGCTGCCTTAGGCAAGTAATCAGGCTGACACTAACTTGGAAAAGCGGCTGAAGGAGGCAGATGATCAAAGTGCAAAGACTCAGGAAAGCTGTGGAGAAGGTGAATGATTAACTGCTACTCACCAAAGCCCACAACAGAGGGTACTCACTGAAACTAGTAGGAGATTGCTTTAAAACAGATAGAAGAAAGTGCTCCTTTAAGCTGCAAGTAACAAACTTCTGGGTTTGTTTCCACTTGAGGTTAGTGACACAGACTGCACCAACAGATTTGAAGAAATACTGCACTCGTACATCACCTCACACAACCAGAGACACCAGATCGTACAAAGAGAATGGACACCAGGAACAGCTAGACTTGCATACAACCCATAAGAAGCAATGCCTGTTGCCACAGTTTGCAAGAGCACACTGAGACAGACAGTGTATGAATTTGACACTGTAGGTGATTTTTACATGTGGGCTTAAGGAAAAGTAAACAAGTCATCTCCCTATCATTGACTGCAGGCAGTAGAAGCATAGAAACACAGAATGATTTCTGTTGAAAGCAACCGTCAAAGTCCACCTAGTCCAACTCCTCCATCATGGGCAGAGACGTCTTCCACTAGACCCGGTTGCTCAGCACCCTTTACAACCAGATCACTTCCAATAATGGAGCATCCACAACTTCTCTTGGCCAATCTGTTCCACTGTCTCCTTACCATAAAAAGAATTCTTCCTTATATCCACTCTTAATGTACCCCCTTCTGATTAAAACCACCGCACCTTGTCCTGTCACTACAGGCCCTAGTAAAAAGTCATTCTCCATCTTTCTTATAAGCCTCCTTTACATATTGAAAGGCTGCAATAAGGTCTCCCCTACTGAGCTTGCTTAGACATAAGTTACCTAGTATATTTGAGTATTTGAAATTAAAATAGTAGCTCTTCAACTCCTACAAATCCCTCAAAACTGGTGAAGTAACAAATGAAAATTGTTAGCCAGAGAAATGTATGTCAAGTTTACCAGTTCAACAAGAACAAAGAAAACCTATACTTATTGGAAACTTATTTCTACCATTTAAAAAGCTGTTGAATATTCCACAACAGGAGGACCATCCACCTTTCTCCCCAAATCCCAAGTAAAACCAACTGCTGAAACAAAAGTTATGTAAAAGTCAGAAAGAAGTGTCATGCCCTGACAGTTAAGCTACTTAAAATTGCCAGTAGGCTGAAGTGGGAACCAAAGCCTGAAAAAATCCCTTGGATCCCTATATATTTCATAAGCAGCCAATCCTGGAGAAGGACTCCAAACTCAAGATACACAGCTGCTATCAGAAGTCTCAAAAATAAAAGGTAACACTACTTTACTATATAATTAATTCATCAAATTAACACCAGAGACAGATGTCTGAAAGAGACTTCTCTTCAAAAAATGATCTTTGTATACTTGATGCTTCAACATCCATAAGAGATTCACTATGAATAATGGAATTAAATATAAATTTGAGCAATAAGTGAGTGGCCAACTACAAAGCTAGTCCTGTCCAAAGCAGCTCTTGTTGCAAGAAATAAAAAAAGGTTTCAAAAGGAGGCTGCAAAAGCCATGTCTGACAGACACCTGCAACCACAAAGCTCTAGAGGTATCTGAATTTATAAACACACTGAGACATAGCGAGGCACAGAAACTTCTGACCAATACACTTACACTTTGGTGAAGTTATAAGCAAATGAGACAGAGTCTCTACGCAAGGCTTGTGGCAATGGTTAATATGCGGTGGGGTAGCAAAACTGAAACATCAAAGCTAACTCAACCAACTACGAACATCATTCTGAACTTCCCATAATACTCTTTTGTCTGCATACACAGGTAGTAAAAAAGGGTGACCACATACGTTGAAAGCTTTGGTACATAATTACGGGATCTCAGTATTATCACTCTTGACTGCATACTGCGATTTGGAAATTAAAATATTAGAAACTCCAGACTCATTCACTGTAAAGACACAACTGCTCTGACAAAAAAAGCAGCAAGACGTGTCTTAAAAATCAAACACTGGAGATCAGTATTTTGGAGATGCATTTCCTCAGACAGCTGTCCTCACAGAACACTAGATTTCTTTTGTACAATACTCCATCTTCAGTGACACGTACTCTTCTCTGCTTGCTCTATGCCTTTCCCATTCTACATCATGTCTTCAACAGATCCACGCTCACCTCATGCATGAGTACTTTCTTTAACCTTCCTGGCACCTGAAAAAACGTTTCTTGAACGTGACCCTGCTTGAAAGGCTCAGCTGAGTTCCTGCCCTTGTGTACAGCGAGGAAAGAATAGAAGGTGAATGATTAACTGCTACTCACCAAAGCCCACAACAGAGGGTACTCACTGAAACTAGTCAGAGATTGCTTTAAAACAGATAGAAGAAAGCACTCCTTTAAGCTGCAAGTAAGAAACTTCTGGGTTTGTTTTCACTTGAGGTTAGTGACACAGACTGCACCAACAGATCTGAAGAAATATTGCGCTCGTATGTCACCTCGCACAACCACAGATCGTACAAAGAGAATGGACACCAGGAACAGCTAGACTTGCATACAACCCATAAGTGGCAATGCCTGTTGCTACAGTTTGCAAAGAGCACACTGAGCTAGATAGTTTATGAATTTGACACTGCAGGTGATTTTTACATGTGGGCTTAAGGAAAAGTAAACAAGTCATCTCCCTATCAGGAGATTGCTTTAAAACAGATAGAAGAAAGTGCTCCTTTAAGCTGCAAGTAACAAACTTCTGGGTTTGTTTCCACTTGAGGTTAGTGACACAGACTGCACCAACAGATTTGAAGAAATACTGCACTCGTACATCACCTCACACAACCAGAGACACCAGATCGTACAAAGAGAATGGACACCAGGAACAGCTAGACTTGCATACAACCCATAAGAAGCAATGCCTGTTGCCACAGTTTGCAAGAGCACACTGAGACAGACAGTGTATGAATTTGACACTGTAGGTGATTTTTACATGTGGGCTTAAGGAAAAGTAAACAAGTCATCTCCCTATCATTGACTGCAGGCAGTAGAAGCATAGAAACACAGAATGATTTCTGTTGAAAGCAACCGTCAAAGTCCACCTAGTCCAACTCCTCCATCATGGGCAGAGACATCTTCCACTAGACTCAGTTGCTCAGCACCCTTTACAACCAGATCACTTCCAATAATGGAGCATCCACAACTTCTCTTGGCCAATCTGTTCCACTGTCTCCTTACCATAAAAAGAATTCTTCCTTATATCCACTCTTAATGTACCCCCTTCTGATTAAAACCACCGCACCTTGTCCTGTCACTACAGGCCCTAGTAAAAAGTCATTCTCCATCTTTCTTATAAGCCTCCTTTACATATTGAAAGGCTGCAATAAGGTCTCCCCTACTGAGCTTGCTTAGACATAAGTTACCTAGTATATTTGAGTATTTGAAATTAAAATAGTAG